AGGGGCATAGAATGATTATGTAGAGAAATTTGAGGAACTCAAAGCATATATGCAGTTGATGAATCAAGGGGAATTCTCCGAGGATTATTTTATAGCCAACTTTATTAGTGGGCTCAATGAAGAGTTGCAGGCATTCCTACACATGTTGAAACCAAAAACACTCCAACAAACCATTAAACTAGGTTAACAACAACTAATACTTTGGAGGCTATCATCAAGAAAATCAAAGGGTACCACAAACCATTTTTACATGCCCAAGGTACAAACACACAAAGAACCATATCACACCCTCTTCCTATCAAAAGAATACCAACCAATCCACCCCAAAAACCAAACACCAAACTTCTAACCTCATCAGAAATGGCTGCAAGAAGATAAAAGGGGTTATGTTACAATTGTGATGAAAGGTTTGTACCTGGACACAGATGTAAACATACAATAAACTATATGATCATGACTGAGGATGAAGAGCTAGCTTACATTCAGTCTGAAGCTGGGGAAAATTTAAGAGTTAGGAGTGGATGTGAGGCAGTTGATGAGGTGCAAATATCTTTGAATGCCATGACTGGTGATGGGGGTTTGACCACCCTGAGGTTCTATGGTTATATTGGGGACCAGAGGCTACTCATTTTAGTGGACACTGGAGTACTCTCAGTTTCATAAAAGAGTCCACTGCCAAGTCTTTGGGATACCAGCTCACTTCAACTAAACCCTTAAAGGTTAAGGTGGCTAATGGGCAGAATTTGATTATCCACCTACAGGCTAATGACCTAAAATGGAGTATGCAAAGACAAGAGATGCAATATTCACTCAGGGTACTACAAAGTGAAGGGAGTGACATTATTCTGGGAGGTGACTGGCTGAGAACTTGCACTCCTATTGAGTTGTACTATGAATCAATGACAATAACTATTAATTTGCAAGAAAGGAGAATCACTTTATAGGATTTAAATGGGGTTGAGTGCCACCTCATCTCAGAGCACTCATTGCTTACCTTAATGCATTTAGAGAAAGAAAACCAGATTGAGGAGATCTATTTGTTGTCACTAGAGCCTATGGAGTTTGAAGGGAAGGAGATTCTAAAACCAATCTTGAAGGAATATCAGGATATAAGAACCCCAAGGGCTCCCTCCTGAGAGGGGCACTGAACATCAAATCATTTTGAAACCAGACAGTCTACCCAAGCAACAATACCCTTATAGGGTGTCTCATGATCAAAAGAGCACTATTGAAGAGATTGTTCAAGAAATGCTCAAGTCTGGCATCATACAAAATAGCAAATCACCTTTTGCCTCACCAGTTTTACTTGGGAAAAAGAAGGATCATACATGGAGGTTATGTGTTGACTACAGGTATTTGAACAACCTTACAATCAAGCATTAATATCCAATCATAGTAATAGAGGAGCTATTGGATGAACTACAAGGAGACAGGTGTTTTTCAAAAATTGACCTAAGGTCAGGCTATTTCCAAATTTTGATGAATGAAGCACACAGGTACCTCACTGTCTTCAAGACTCACAGTGGTCACTACGAGTTTTTGGTCATGCCATTTGGGCTTTGCAATGCCCCAGCTACCTTCCAATCACTCATGAACCAAGTTTTCAAAGATTGCCTAAGGAAATTTGTTCTTGTCTTTTTTTTGATGACATATTGATCTATAGTAAAAATTGGGATGAACATTTGAGAATGACGTTACAATTGCTGAGAGACCACACTCTATATGTAAACCTGAGTAAGTGCCATTTTGGTGATTCCATAATTGAATACTTGGGCCACATCATTTCAGCTGAAGGGGTGTCAACTGACCCTAAGAAAATTGAATGCATGGTACAATGGCCTGTTCCTACAACCACCAAGCAGTTGAGGGGGTTTTTGGGTCTCACAGGCTATTATAGAAGGTTTATCAGAAGGTATAGGGAAATAAGCAAACCTCTAACTACCCTATTGAGAAAGGACCAATTCAAGTGGGGGAAAGAAGTTGAAATGGCTTTTACCAAATTAAAGGAGGTTATGGTCTCAGCACCACTTTTAGCTTTGCCTAATTTCTCTAAACCATTCATTTAGAGACTGATGCTAGTGGATTTGGAATTGGGGCTGTATTGATGCAAGAGGGAAAACCCATAACTTTCTTAAGCAAGGCTTTATGTCCTAAGAACCAAGCTTTATCAGTGTATGAAAAGGAGTTTTGTAGTAGATATTTTTCCGGAGTTAAATCAAAAGATTCGACACCGGGTCGTGTCTCTCGAGGAAGGTCAGCCGAATTATTTTGTACGATTATTCAAACACAAAAATGAAAAATAAAAGAAATAAAAATCCTAAACATTCTAATTCAAAGTTTGGATAGTTTTTATTATCAACTACTGCGAATAAATAAAATAAGCAAGGTAAATAGCAAGTGAACACGTGGAACAAATGAGATTAAAGCAGCTAGGGAGTCGGGGATATCTGTTCTGGTTCGAAATGCAATCAGGGGGGCAGGTGATTGCTCAGTTAAGTGATTTGAATAACCGGCATGTTCAAGTACTCATTCTCAATAACTTTTCGTAACAAGAGAACAAACTTGGACGACTAATTAACAATTCATTTAACTTCTAGGCAATACAGTTACGAACAAGCCTAGTTTGCACGAGCCTATTTCGACCGGCTCCTTCCCTTTCGGTTCTAAGAGTCGATAAAGTTGAACTAGAGGGTGATTAATCAACTAGCCCGTTTAGAATTAACAACATCAAGCATGAATTTATCAAATCTAATTGAAACAATTGAAAGTTGAAGTGTCACTCTTCAACAATTATCAAAACTCAAGAACAAATAATCGAAAACCCTAATAAGATTAACTCGCACAAAGTGAACAATCTTAAGCCCGGGAATCGCAAACAAATTCAAAACATCGATCTCCTAATCCCTAGCAATCGAATTTAGCTACTCATATTCATATAATCAACACAAGAAATCTCAGCCCAAGAACTCATATTCATCGATTAAGTAAAAAGAGAATCTTACGATTGATAAATCTCAACGGTTGAATTCGGTAAACAAGCTTGAATCCAAGAGAAATAACAAAATCCGAATGTAAATCCTTGTTCCAC